TTTTGTTATCTATATTTTTACCGCACACACAGAAAAAGTCATCTAGGGATAGAACACTTTCTTGTTTTTTGTTTGTTTTTAATGCACCAGCTTGACAATGTTTTTAAGGACCCAAGTTTTTGTCATTTTTCTCCTCTGACATTGTAGAGTTCTATTGTCTGTCCCTTCATGGTCTCAAGATTACTCCAGAATCTCTTCCTTCTATATTGACATCCAAAGGCTGAACATATGTTGCCATATGTCCTTTGATTTTTAAAATTTTTTTTGTTTATTGATTTTAGGGAGAGAGGAAGAAAGAGGGAAAGAGACATAGAAACATCGATGAGAGAGAACATCGACTGGCCACCTCCTGCATGTCCCCCACTCGGGACTTGGCCCACAACCTGGGCATGTGCCCTGACTGGGATTTGAACCGGCGACCTCTTGGTGCATGGGTCGATTCTCAACCACTGAGCCACACTGGCCAGGCCATATGTCATTTAAGGTTGTGGAAAACTTTTCCAGATGCTCCCAGCAGATTTTTCTCACATCTTACTGGCTAGAATTAGGACATGACTATTTGTAACTTGTTTACTAGCAAAGGAAATGGAATGCCTTAGGCTGATCACTTTTCATGTCCTGGGACCGGGGAAGGATATCTCATACCTGCTGCCCCAACATCTGAACAAATTAGCAGTTCTGTTAGAAGAAAGAAGGTGAAGAATGGCTGTTGGGTAGGCAGCCATCATGGATCATCAATCATTTTGGTTCCTCTGGCTTCATTTACCATCAGCACAGATGATTCCCAATTACTCAGCCCAGACTTTTCTGTTGAAATTCATACCTTAGCACCTCAAAATCAACGTTTAATCCAAAAATAAACATTTTTATTCTCAGATCTGTTCTTTTGTTATTGTCTATTTAAAGAAATGCCACTGAATCACCTAGGCTAGAAACCTGAGAACCATCTTTGACTTTTCTACTCGTTTCTTCCTGCATTTAATCAGTCATTAAATCCTGTGGATTCTACTGTTTTGATATTTCCAATCTGTCTTCTCTAGTTAAGAACTTTTGATTTCTTATCTGTATTACTGTACTTCCCCAGTGTTCTCTCTGCCTCTAGTCTTTCCCCTTTCAATTTATTCCCTAAACTGCTGCCAGAATAGGGGGGGTGTTTTTTTTTTTAAATCCTCACCAGAGGATATTTTTCCATTGATTTTTTTTTTTTTTTTTTTTTTTTTTAGATAGAGTGGGAGGGAGGAATGGAGAGAGAAAGAGAGACAAATTGACTGACTGCATCTCACACATTGCCAACCAAGGCCAGGGATCGAACCTGCAACCGAGGTATGTGCCCTTGACTGGGAATTGAACCCACAATTCTTCGGTCCACTGGCCAGTGGTCTAACCACTGATCCAAACCTGCCAGGGCCAGAATGGTGTTTCTAAAGCACATATTTGATCATGTTATTCAGTATGGCTTTTAAGTCCCTTCATGATCTAGCCTTTGCTTATCTCTCCAGCCTCATCACTTTACTCACTGTGCTGCATCCAGTGAACTACCCCCTAGTTGCACCTGGCTTTTGCTAATATAAAGTGCCGTCTCTAACTTGAGTCTTTTTTATTTTTATTTTTCAAGATTTTTAAATTGATTTTTAGAGAGAGAGGAAGGGAGAGGCAAAGAGAGAAACATCAGTGGGAGGGTGGAACATTAATTAGCTGTCTCCTACACACCCCCTACTGAAGATCAATCCCACAACCCGGGCATGTGCCCTTACCAGGAATCCAGCCAGCAACCTTTTGGTGCATGGGATGACACCCAGCCAACTGAGCCACACTGGCCAGGGCCTAATTCAAGTTTGTATAAAAGTCTTTGCAAATGCTGTTCGTTCTACCCCATTCCCTTCTCTTAAATGTCTGATTATTTCCTATTTTTTAAATTACTTTTATTTATTTTTTGTTATAGATGTTTCTCCTTTTTCCCCCATTGACACACTCCTCCCAGTCCCCCACCACCACCCTGTCCCCAACTTTGTTGTCTGTGTCCACTGGTTATGTATACATGCATATAAGTTCTGTGGTTTATCTTCCCCCCTCACCCCCTCTTCTGAGGTTTGTCACTCTGTACTCTACTTCTATGTCTCTGGGTCTATTTAATTCATCCGTTTGTTTTGTTTATTATATTCCACAAATAAGTGAGATCATGTGATAGTTGTCTTTCTCTGCTAGGCTTGTTTCGCTTAGGATAATATTCTCCAGGTCCCTCCATGTCGTCTCAAAGGATAACAGATCTTTCTTTCTTGCTTTATTTTTTTTTATCCTCACCCGAGGACATTTTTCCATTTTTTGTTCAGATAGAGTGGGAGGGAGAGAGAGAGAGAGAGAGAGAGAGAGAGAGAGAGAGAGAAACATCGACGTGAAAGGACACATCAAGTGGCTGCCACCTGCACGACCAACCAGGGCCGGGGACAAACTGCAACCGAGGTACATGCCCTTAGTGAGAACCGAACCCGGGTCTCTCTGGACTGCAGGCTGACGCTCTGACCGCTGAGCCAAACCAGCCAGGGCCAGATCTTTCTTTCTTATAGCTGCATGCATAGTATTCCATTGTGTATATGTACCACAGTTTTTTTATCCACTCATCTATTGATGGACACTTGGGTTGTTTCCAGAGCTTAGTGACTGTAAATAGTGCTGCTATGAACATAGGGATACATATATTCTTTCTAACTGGTGTTTCAGGCTTCTTAGGGTATTTTCCTATTTTTCTTTCAGGAGTCAACCTTCGGTGTGACCTGAGCATCATGTCTGGGAATTGTCCTTTACCCCCCAGTCTTTTTGTTGTTAATTCTCACCAGAGGATATTTTATCCATTGATTTTCAGAGAGAGTGGAAGGGAGGCAGGGAGGGGGAGAGAGAAAAACATAGATATGAGAGTGACACATCGATTGGTTGCCTCCCGCCTGCACCCCAGCTGACCTGGGATGAGGATCAATCTGCAACCCAAGTACATGTCCTTGACCGGGAATTGAAACCATGACTCTTTGGTGTGTAGGCCGACACTCTAACCACTGAGAACACTGGCCAGGGCTACCCCTCAGTCTTGATTAACTGCTCCAACTTTCTGTCCCCATAATACTATGTGCTTACCCCACTCTTATCCTCCAACTGTTTTGTAATCCTCTGTTCACGTTTTTTTTCTCTCCATTGACTGAGTTTCATGAAGGCAGAAACTGTCTTCCTCTTTGTATCCCTAGTTCTCAGTAACTATTTAATTGAGAATACAGAATTCTCAATAAATGTTTAATGAATGGATGGAAGCTGACATCAGAAGCTATTTCTTGGCTTTGGGAAATCTTGGAGTCCAGTAGAAGTCATTGAGATACTAATCTAAGAGTTCTATGTGCTGATTACAGTGCTCTTGAGACAAAGACTTGGAAAGTTTACAGAGGTCAGTCACAAGCCAGCTGCGCTAAGGAAACTAAATACGGGCAGACCCTGCTTTTGTTTATTTAAATTTTATTGGTCTGCTCCATTGGCTGTACTAAAAATAGCATCTCTATTAGTGATATCTCAATTCAGAAAATATCGCGTTGGCCAGTTTTGCTTAGTGGTTAGAGCATCGACCCATGGACCAAAGGGTTGTAGGTTCACTTCCCTGTCGAGGGCATGTACCTGAGTTGCAGGTTCTGTCCCCAGCCCTGGTTGGGGTCATGTGGGAGGCAACTAATTGATGTGTCTTTCTCTCATTGATTTTTCTCTCTCTCTCTCCCTCCTTTCCATTCTCTCTAAAAATCAATGGGAAAATATCCTTGAGTGAGGATTAACACCCCCCCCCCCCAATAGATTATCTGGAAACAAAGCTGCTTTTTAGTGTACCCTGCTTGCCAGCAAAGAGTTTGGGAGAGTCTGGTCTTCCTTTCCCTGAACTCATGCAGCCTGAAGAGCAGGAGGTAGTGCCAGATCAGGAATTTCCTCAGAGGTGTCTTAACACACATGCCTGAGCCAGTTATTGGAGTCAGGCAAGGGGAGTGTGCATGGCAGGCTGAGCTATGAGTCTCACAATCACCTGGAGAGTGAGGCAGGCATGTTCCTGCAACACATATAACTGACTGAGCAGCCAGTTATAGCAACAACCTACCTCTCCTGGTGGGGATGGGGTGGGAATTGTGGACAGTGAGTGGTCCTCAGGACATCCTCAGATGTAGCTTAAATCTGACAGTGCTCTTGATTAAATTGCAATGCCCCACAAAGATTGTATTGGAACACATTTTTAGAGCTCCTCTTGTTATTTTTACTACTGACAACAAAGTTTGTGATTGTAAAATAGAATATTGAGACAGCCCCTTTGTTACTAGAGATATTATTATATCCCATTTTTTATTTTCAGCCACTCACCTTCAGTTTAAACTGCTGATTCCTGGTTTCTGTCAGCCCCTAGAACCCTGGCATTTTTCCCTATCCACACAGGAGTACCATCTGTAGTAAAAGAGAGTAACTATAGGCTATACAGTACACAGGGAAACAGTCCAGGATTTGTTTGTGTTTTTTTGTCATTCTGCTTCCCAGAGCTTTTTCTAGCAGTGCTTTATGATGAAAATGAGAATTGGCTACATAGCCAAAGATTCGTGTTCATAGCATAAAGTTGAAAGTTACTACCATCCTAGTGGTAGGGGTAACATGCTTTTTGGTAATAGGCAGGAACAGAAAAAAAAAAACAAGATAAGAAAGTCAACACCCACTTTGGAATGCTTGTTTGAATCAAGCTTCTGATTATATTAAACCAGAGTCATACTGTCCATTAATTTCAAGGCCCTGGGCTGCCCCAGGGGACACATACTTAAATATTTCATCAGTTATCCATCAGCCCCATTGCATATTAAATAGCAAGGGAAAAGTCCATCAGTTTTAGTCTTCTAGTCCTCTCAAACCAATCCCCAGGTCAGATATGTGTGGAAAATGGCCAAGAATCAACAGGACATCTAAGAAACCATCTGTGTATTTCCTAGAGATATTAAGTGCTGCTATGATAGAAGAAATGATATAAGGACATCCTCAGATGAGACTTAAATCAGCCAGTGTGCTTCATTGAACTCCTGAAATGCTTTTGGCACTAGGAGTGAGAACAGATACAAAGTAAGTAAAAGGTATAGTCCTTGCCCATGGAGAGTTCACTGTTAAATTGGGGAAACTGTCAATGTACAGACTTGTAAAAGAAGAAAAAATCTCCACAAGGAGGTAAATGCCACATGAGTGGTTCAGAAATTCAGGGGTCTCGTGGTGTGCTAGCAACAGAAGTAAGTGTAACACTGGGATCAAGTTTAACCAAGACTTTAGCATGATAGCTTAACAAAGAAATAAACCAAAGGACAGTGTATGCATGTTGTGAAGCAACATATTTTTCAGCCACTGCTGTACTCACGGGTGGTAATCATTTAATCAGCAATAGTTCCAGCAAGATAAATGTACAGTATAAATTAAGTTCAGAAATTGGGCCAGCCCTGACCGGTTTGGCTCAGTGGTTAGAGCGTCGGCCTGTGGACCAGAGAAGCCCGGATTCGGTTCCCACTAAGGGCACGTACCTTGGTTGCAGTTTGTCCCCAGCCCCGGTGGAGTCGTGTGGGTGGCAACCACTCAATGTGTCTCTCTCACATGGATGTTTCTTTATCTTTCTTCCTTCCTCCCTCCTCCCCCCCCCCCCCCCCCCCGCCAAAAAAGGAAAGAAATTGGGCCAGACTCTATTACCTAACCTTTAAAGCTAAGTAGTATTTGGAGCTGAAGGAAAGGCTCCCTGAGCAGGAGACAAGATGAAAACTAGGAAGATGTGGGGAAGGTTTAAATTTCTGGAGGTGATGGAAGCAAAACCAGCAGTCTGACTACCACTGATTGCCAGGGTTGATGGGATCTGATCATTTTAAGCTGGGCAGGTGTCCCCACCTGCCTCAGGAATCCTCAGGAATCTGGTCTGCCTGGGTGAGTTGAAGCAGGATGGGCAGGGAGGATGGCTAGTGGGCGACTTGGCTAAAGTTGAGCCCTAAAATTGAGCCAGGTCCTCTCCCAGGGGTATGAGCCCTCTGGGTCAGGGGCAGGGCTCATCTGGGGAACCTACCAGGAGCAGCACGCCTGGCTCACTCATTAGTGGATGTCTGAGAAGGCCTTTGAAGATGAAACATTCCATAAGCATTCATTATTTCTGTGTTTTGGACAAACTAGTACTTTGGTCTCCAGGGGCTGTTGATCTGGCCCCTTTGTACTAGTCTGGAATTTGCTGAAAACTAAGAGGAATAGGGAAAAAAAAACACACAAACAAACCTGAAATAGTTTTTAAAAAAAACACAACTAAACTCCCACCAAACCCCCAGGCTTTAGCTTGTAAATAGGATTCCTCCTCATCCATGTTTCACATTCTTGGGTTTGGGTGCACTGTCTTGACCTGTTCTTTCGCCTGCTGGGTTTGGGGTGTGTGTGTGTCTCTGGTTCCCAGACTCTAACAGAGCATGCCAGCAGCCGCCATATGGTGATTGCTGAATAAGCTGCCCGCTGACGCTGACGCATGTCTCCCGCAGGCACAGAGAACTGGCTGGCAGGCGTGATTCTGAACCCGTTTCGTTGTTTTTTTAAAGATGCATTTCTGTGGCTGTCCTGTGTCATAGAGAAGGGAGGAAGGATGAGAGGGAATAAATAACCCTATGAGCCTGTTGGGAGCAATGATTGGGGTGGGCATTTTATACCTTTATAGTGGTTCTTATTGCTCCCTTCATTTTTTTAGCAGTGTTTGTTAAGGGCCTACTATGTACCAGGCATAAACATCTGATCTGAGTGAGCTGTAGAGAGGTCAGTATAGACCCTAGAAGTTAGTTACAGTTATTCAACTGCTGTGTGCCAGGTGCTATTCAAGGTACTAGGAACACAGCAGTGAATAAATTAGGTAAGGAGCTGACATTGTAGTAGGAGGAGAAAAACAGTACAGCAAGAAACAAGTATGTGATGTGTCAGATGATGATAAATGCTGCGAAGAAAAGTGGGATAAATGGGGGTGAGAGAGTGTGTGTTAGAGATGGTTATGGAAAGCCTCTTTGATAAGGTGACATTTGAACAGACACCTGCAGGAAGTGAGGGTGTACTCCATGAAATTGTCTAGGAGAGGAAGCATTTCAGGCAGAGTGAAGAGCAGTTGCAAAAGCTTTGAGGTAGGAAAGTGTTGGGGAATTGAGGTGGAGTAAGCGAAAGGAAGAGGAGTAGGAGATTTGATGAGAGATGCAGGGGGAATGCAGATTGTGCAGGACCCTGTAGGCCACAGTATGGCTTTCGGTTTTACTAAAAGGGAGATATGAAATCAAGACAGGGTTTTGAACAGAGGAGCAACATGACCTGATTTTGGCTTTAAAATAGACTGAAGGGAGTTAGGGAAGAAAGCCTCATTTCAGGTGACCATGTGGAGCATCTACCCTTGGATGGGCGATGGCACGCCTAGGAGTGACCTGGCTGAGGAATGGGGGGTAGTCTCTTCACACCCCACTTCCCAACTCTCAGCCCACCATTGTGTGAACAGGGTACCACTCTAGCAGCCAGCATTTCACAGAACAGAAAGGATGAGACTCTTCTAGGTGTGCTGCTTTCTTATTTTTTCCTCATTAATTTTGGTGTGTAGAAGGAAGGTGGAATTGCAGAAATGTGAAGACAGAAGCAGTCTCTTGATTAGCACAGAGCATGAACCTTGGGAACCTGGCAAGCCTGAGCCTTGTCAGGAGTCACAAAGAGCCACTCCTCATTCCACTCCCTCCTCTCTCACCCTTTCCAGAAGTTTCAGGGTAATGTTGGAGGGAGGGGCATTAATGATCTTGCAACACCTTGGGGTATATTATAGATTGTCAGAACAGAAGGGACTTTATTTATATTTTTTAAAGATATTTTTATATTTACAGTGGGGAAGGGAGAAGGAGAGAGAAACATCAGTGTGAGAGCTGAGAGCAGAACACCTGTCTGCTCGCCTCCTGCCGGCTCCTACTAGGGGTCAAGTATGTGCCCTGACCATGAATCAAACCAGCAACCTTTGGGTGCACAGGACAACACCCAGCCAACTGAGCCACACTGGCCCATTTGAAAAGGACTTTAGAAATCATCTATTTCAACACCCCTCCATTTACAGGTGCAGATGTAGACAGGTGGAATAAGTCACATGTAAATTGCTGGCAGAGCATAGGTCCTGAGTGGTCACTGCTTTGTCTCTGCTCCCAAAGGCTCAGAATGTGTCTCAGTGGGCCTTAACCATCACAGTCCCCTCAGGCTCTCAGTTTGTCGTGAATGGAGTCTAGCCTTGACTTTAACAAATCCCATTTATGTGAAATCCTGACGAGCAAATGGTGGTAATGAGTTTACATTTCTTTGCCTAGGATCGAGTCCTCCATACCAGGGCCCAGGCCAAAACCAGATTGCCACTGCCCCAGTTTGGGCCCTACTGTCCTCAGAAAGCAGCTGCTGTGATCATGGGTAATATCTTTGGAAACCTTCTCAAGAGCCTGATTGGGAAGAAGGAGATGCGCATCCTGATGGTAGGCCTGGATGCGGCAGGAAAGACCACCATCCTGTATAAGCTGAAACTGGGGGAGATCGTCACCACCATCCCCACCATTGGTAAGGGCACAGCCTGGATGTAGGCTTTCATGCCAACAGTTGAGCCAGGCAGGGGGCCTATTCTTAGATTCCCCCACCTGGCCACCAGGCAAGTCCATGCAATTTGTGCGGTTCAGAGAAGGGTGGTTATTTAGCTTGCTAGCAGGTGCTGGTCTGCTGTTTGCCCACCTACCCTGGCCTTCTCTGATGGGAGAACTTCTGCAGCTTGGCACTCAACAATTGCCCTCAGGTACTGAGCTGGTTCTCTATGTTGTTTGGAAAGCAGGTAAAGGGCTTTGATGTTCTGGCCAGAGGCCTGGAATTGCTTCAGTTTAGATTCTCGGTGGCCCTGATCCTGGTTAAGACCTGTGTGTGGGAGGGAGAACATTTGGCTTGTGGATGGGACTCCATCTGTGGGTGGTTCTGCATTTGAGGCTCCAGGACTATAGCTCAGTTCTTTTTCTTCACTCTGCCTCGCAGGCCCCAGTTCTTAGCTGAGAAAGACTCTGGTGGCCAATGTACTGGAGTAGGGCTGAGTCATTTCTTTGTAGGAGGGAGAGCCAAAGACTGAGAATGAGTGGGGAAGGTTGGCTCACATTACCCATGCAGTCATGAACCTCCTGATTGGCCCTCCTCATCCTCTTCCACTTCTTCCCTTAGTTTTTTTTTTGGCCTTTAGGCTACAAGGTCAAGGAGCACTAGGTCTGAGGAAGCCCTAGCTCTCTTTCCCTTGCTGGGATCATGGCCAAGGCTAGGGGAAACAAATGAAACCATTGGGGCATCATTTACAGACCTGGTGTTTGAGGGCCACTGGCCATTGCCTGTTTTTTCCCAAAGGGTTCAATGTGGAGACAGTGGAGTACAAGAACATCAGCTTCACAGTTTGGGATGTGGGTGGCCAGGACAAGATTCGGCCTCTGTGGAGACATTATTTCCAGAACACCCAAGGTATGGCGTATGACTTGCCCAGGGACTGGCCTGGGTTGGTTGGGTGTGAACTGAGGGTGTGGTTGTCGTTTTGGTTATGGGCAGCCAACTCTGGGTCTGCTATAGCTCCTATGAGTGGGAGAAGAAGAGAAAATGTTGCAAATATTTGGAAGCTACGAGGAGGGTATTGTCTTTTGGTGGTGGGGGAAGGGAGTTCATCTGTCGTCTGTGTGCAGCCCATGCTCTGCCTCCCTAGGGTTGATATTTGTGGTCGACAGCAATGATCGGGAGCGAGTAAATGAGGCCCGGGAGGAACTGATGAGGATGCTGGCAGAGGATGAGCTTCGGGATGCTGTTCTCCTTGTCTTTGCAAACAAACAGGTGAGATTCCTCCCCACCCTTGGATTTGAGAGAGTGTACCCTGGCCTCAGAAGTCAAGGGCCTTGGAGCTCATTGTATAGGAAACCCTCTGGCTATGCTCTCAATTTCGGAAGTGTGGGAAATAGGATTAGTTGGCTTTTTATGCTTTTCTTGTCCCCCACCCCTGCTTTAATTAGCAATTTTGTATCCTCAGGGATTGGTGTGGTAGATTTATCACCTTAAATCTCTCTTTCATCTTCCCTGTTGTCTACCTCAGTGGAACTGCCCTCACTCCTGTGGTCAAACAGACCTGCTTTCTTTCTTTTTTTTTTTTTTATCCTCACCGGAGGACATTTTTCCATTTTTTGTTCAGATAGAGTGGGAGGGAGAGAGAAACATCAATGTGAAAGGGACACATCGAGTGGTTGCCACCCGTATGACCCAACCAGGGCCGGGGACAAACTGCAACCCAGGTACATGCCCTTAGCGACAACTGAACCCGGGTCTCTCTGGACCGCAGGCCGACGCTCTAACCGCTGAGCCAAACCAGCCAGGGCACAGACCTGCTTTCTTTGCCCAGTCTGAAGCACTCCTACACTTCCCTACCATTCCCATATTTGGTTTCCACCAATCCAATGACCTCTGATGTCTTAGGTATGGGGCCTGGGATGACTAAATCCAAAGCAGCTCCTTAGGATCTTGTTCTGGGTCCCTAAAGTGGAAGAGGAGGAAAGGATACTGGTATACATCATATTGGTAATGGGTGCTCTAGAAGCCTTTGAAAGATTCTGAGTCTCCTTTTTGTGTGTCTCCCTCGGGCTCCAGGATTTACCTAATGCTATGAATGCTGCTGAGATCACAGACAAGTTGGGCCTGCATTCCCTGCGTCATCGCAACTGGTACATTCAGGCCACCTGTGCCACCAGCGGGGACGGGCTGTACGAAGGCCTGGACTGGCTGGCCAATCAGCTCAAAAACAAGAAGTGAGAGCCAGGCAGCCCTATCCGACCACCCCCACCACCCCTAACACACCTACTGTCTCCCTGCCCAGCCCTACCCCTTCCTTCCCATTGCCAGTGTGGCCAGGGCCCTGGGTATTAAGGTCCGCATGCCCAATAAGAGCCTTGTCTCTCCTACCTCCCCTTCTTTCCCCTGTCCTTGACCAGTCCCCAATTGCTGTCCTGATGATGAATCATTCCAATTTATCAGATTTAAAACAAAAACAAGGTTGTTATGGTTTCATGGGGTGCCTCCCCCATCCTCTGAGGTTCGGGAAATGGGGTGGGGTAGTCTCTCTGTTTGCTTCATTTGGCTCTGGTTGCTGTGTTCTTGGCATCAGTCCCTTCCCTCTCCCTACAAGCCCCTCTCCTACTATTTTTTCCCCTTCATCACCCTCTCCCTGTTCTACGTGGAAATTGCACGGGCCTCTCTTTGTGTGCGTGCATGTGTGCGCGTGTATATACATGTATAGAGAAATATATAAGTAGGGGCCGGGGAGAAGGGTGGAGGGGGTGGAGTGGGTGGAGTGCAGCTCAGGGCTTGGAGCCAGGACACTGCCCACTCTAGCCTATCACGTGCGCCTCCCAAGTTGGTGAGATCAAGGGAATAAAGTGGAGGGAAGGCTGACACAGTCTTACACTGGTTCCTCTCTTCTCTGCAGGTAGGTTTTCCAGGATGATAGGACAGATGATGGATTTTCCGCCACCATCTTCCTTGTTACCACTCTCTTCACCCTGCTTAGGGCACAGGGTGGCATTTATCTCTAAATGACTGTTTCCAAGGAGATGCCATTTTGCCCTGTCTTGTTAGTGGGAAGGAGAGAGGAACCCACTCACTCTCATCAGCCCAGAGTGTTCAGTTGATCCCTGCGTCCCCCCCCTTAGATCTATTCCTTAGGAGCTTGAAGGGGAGGTGGACACACAAGAACATGTATGTTTGGGACCCAGGGAAGTGTCTCGGGTTTTCCATCTTCATCCTCTTGGTTTTAGGAGAAAGTTATGCATGGATCGGTCCTATCCCAGCCTTCTCCTTCTCGATCCCCCTTGCCCCCCAATCTTCTAATCTTAGGCACTGGGTGGCTCATCTGTCCTTTGTCCCAGGCTGGCTAGGTGGCTGATTGGGGAGTGAGGGAGTGAAGGTGGCACAGCAGACCTCAATTATCAGTCCCCCTTTTCTCCAGTTCTCTTTCTAGTCCAGGATGTGCTGAAGGATGGAAAGTTTCTGTTCTGTTTCCAGACCCTCAGACCATCCTGCTGTCCCTCCCACCTCTATCCCAACAGCTCTCCTTGCCCTCTTCACTCACTCACGTAAAAGGGTCTGTGAGATGGAACGGAGGAACTAGAACTCTGAAGTGGTTGATGGTGCTGCTGTAATGCAGTGGTCTTCAGGGTCCTCCCCCTATTACTATGTAGTTCAGAAGCTGCTGCTACTGAGTCTCTCTGTCTACAGGGGGTGCTCATCCCTGAGGTCCTGACTTCTGCGGTGTCTGTGAAGCTGTGGCTTTTCTGTGGGCTCCTGTGTGTGCTGGCTGCGCCCTGAGCTCCAAGACAGCCGCCCATACCTTTCTGCTAAGCTCAGGGCCCAGGAACCCCTACGGCATGACTGAGGGACCCCTTCCCAGAAGGACTGCCCCAAGCCCCACCCCATGGAGCCAGGCTTCTTGCCACTTTTGTCTACAACAGGCAGATTAATAGCCCTTACCCTACCCCAGATTGGAACTGTGAAAGAGGTTCCAGAGTTGTCTCCCTCAGTGCCAGTTCCTTAGTGATGTTTTACTTACCCAAGACACAGTGGGTGTGTGCAGGTCTCTTGCTCTCTAGGCCTTTGTGTGTATGTATGTGTGTATATTTGGTGGTGGGGGAAAGTGGGTGCTGGAGTTTCTATTTCATTTTAACTGTCTTCACTCCCCTAACCCCACAGATGCTTCCCACACTATTTTTTTTTTTTTTTGCCTCTCTCTCTTTCTTCCTCAATTTTTTTTGCTCCTGCTGCCTCTCTCCCTGAACTCTTCCCTTTGCCTTCTAACTCATTCAGTGCTGTTGCCTGTTTGTCTCCCCTTTCCTTGTTTCTTTCCTACTTAGGCTTCCCCACTCTATATCTTTGTGGTTGGTGAGAACTTTACCACTTTTCCCAACTCACTCCCTCTCTGGCCTTCCCTAGTTAGATACCTGTCCCAAATAGGGTTTCCTCATTTCAGGCCTATCCCACCTCGTTTTGGGGGGCTCTAGGGACCAGTGGGGCTAAGGGTGTTAGGAAGCAGCCTTGGTGGTTGCCTTGGTGTTGCTTGAGATCTGTCCAGCAGGGGGCAGTAAGTGATCTTGATAGTATCCCTGTTTGCTAGGCCCTTGCCAGGGGTGGACCTTTCTACATTCCCATTCACCTAAAAATTCTTTTGAGATTGGGTGTTTCATTCCATTTCTGCCCACTCCCTCCCCGCCTCTCCTCTGGTAGGTTTAATTTTATGCTTTCCTTGTTCCAGCCTTTCTTTTCCCTGGGGAGTCCCCCATTTCACCCCCAAAGTTTGTTTGTGGTATTATAGTGGTAACTGCAGTTCTGAACTGGTTTTCTCTTCTTTTTTCCTCCTCTGGAATGTAGACTATATATGTTTAATAACTCACCTTCTCTCTCCTTGCTCAAAATGTGGGGTACGCGATGACTGTGACCATGGTTGGAAATTAAACTTATGTTTTATGCAGCTTTGAGCAGACCTTCATCCTTGACGTGCAGCAGCCCTGGGACAGTGGTTTAATGGTGAGGGTAGTTCTGTCTCTGGTCCCTGTATCCAGACTGATCCTTCAGTAGAGGGGTAAAGGGCACTTGATGGGGGGAGAGTGAGATTATTGGGGAACTCAGGCTCATTTCCACACTGCTTACTTCTTCCCATCATACCCCAGAGGGGGGCTTAAATGAATTGGGCACTGGAGTATGAGGGTGTTGTGACTTTGTTCCTCTAGTTATAAAGTGTTTAACCCTGAACTTAGCCATATTTATCACCTGTTGGTAGATTTTAGTGGCTAGCAGGCCCTGATCTTTGAGAGTGCCCTATATTACTTCCATTCTCAGACCTCCCTAGCCCTGTGCATCAGATGTTTCTAGTTGGAACAGGGTTCCCTCATCCATAGATAGGAGTCCCCTCACCCATTTAGTTCTGAACTTTGGCAGTGAATAAGTATAAAAGGTAAAGGTCTGGATAGTGTAATGTACTTGATCCTCCTTACAACTGATGGCCTTGCATCCCCTTTACTTCAAGCATGTGGTTCCCCATTGTCAGGATTCCAGCATCATCCAGAGATTCCACAGACATTTTGGGGGGGGGAAACACCTTTTTCGTAAAGCCCCACCCTTCCACCCCACTGCCGTCACTACTCTCTTCCTCTCTTGTTACTGTTGTCTGGCTCCAGACAAAGAAAGGGATGGTGCTGCCCGTGGGGTGGGTAAGGTCTAGATGAGCCCGGCAGGCATTCCCTGCTTTTTGTTGTTATTAATCCTCACCCGAGGATATTTTTCCATTGATTTTTCTGATTTTTAGATGGAATGGAAGGGAGGGAGGGGGAGAGAGAGAAACATCTATGTAAGAGACACACATCGATTGGTTGTTTCCTACTCAGCTGTGGATTGAATCTGCAACCCTTCAATCCATGTGCTGTTGCTCTAACCGCTAACCAAACCATGGTGGTCAGAGAAGGCATTCCCCACTCTTTTTTTTTCATCCTCACCCAAGGACATTTTTCCACTTTTGTTCAGACAGAGTGGGAGGGAGAGAGAGGAAGAGAGAGGGGCAGAGAGAAACATTGATGTGAAAAGGACACATTGAGTGGCTGCCTCCCGCATGACCCCAACCTGGGCCAGGGACGAATCACAACCAAGGTACATGCCCTTGACCGGAATTGAACCCATGACTCATTGGTCTGCGGGTCAGCGCTCTAACCGCTGAGCCAAACTGGCCAGGGTGCATTCCACACTTTTTGTTGTTGTTGTTAACCCTCACCTGAGGATATTTTTCCATTGATTTTTAGATAGAATGGCCCGGCCAGTGTGGCTCAGTGGATTGGGCATCCTCCCATGGACTGAGAGGTCTCAGTTTGATTCCTGGACAGGGCACATGCCCAGGTTGCAGGCTTAATCCTCGGTGGGGGCCTGCAGGGGGCAGCCGATCAATGTTTCTCTCTCACATTGATGTTTCTATCTCTCCCTTCCTCTCTCTCCAAAAAAACTCAACAAAATAAAAAAAAATCAGCAAACAGGGATACTACCAAGATCACTTACTGGTTGGGGGGGGGGGTCGGCATCTATGTGAGAAAGACACATCGATTGATTGCCTCTGGGATCGAACCTGCAACCCTTCAGTCTGTGGGCTGATGCTCTAATTGCTGAGTGAAACCATGGTGGTCAGAGCAGTCATTCCCCATTCTTACCACTTTTTTTTAAAATTCTCACCCAAGGACTTTTTTGCATTTATCTTCAGATAGAGCAGGTGGGAGAGAGCGAGGAAGAGAGAGAGAGAAACATTGACATGACAGAGACACATCAAATGGTTGCCACCCACACGACCCCAACCAGGCCCCGGGACAAACTGCAACCGAGGTACGTGCCCTTAGTGGGAACCAAACCCAAGACTCTCTGGTCAGCGGGCTGACACTCTAACCACTGAGCCAAACCAGCCAGGGCTCTTACCACTTTCTTAAGCTTTGGGGACAGAGGTCTTCCCACCCTGATGCTGTGGGAAAAGGACAGGATTTAGGCATATAATAAATTGGAGAGCCCCAAATAGTGTGAAGTATATTTATATTCAGTTATCCCCCTGTTCCCTTTCCAGTTTTCCTTTTCAGTCTCTCTCCTGTTATTAAAATAAGCCATCACCTCAAGGTCCAGTGTTTCTGCCCTTAGGAAACCCTTAAACTACTCCCTTTATCAACCCGGTAAACTTGAAACATTACCCACTTATCCCTCAAAATCTGATGACACTTTCCTTCCAGGCTCCTCAAAAGTCCTGCTTGGTGACTGAGGTTATTGATAAGTTAGGAACTCCTTTCCCAAGTGCTTCATTTTTATGATAAATAGATAACCTTTTAGAGCTACAGATTCTCATAAGATAATGATAATGGAGAGGATTTCAGCTAGGTGGCAGGCCGATAGGGATCTTTTGACCTCTGAACAAATTTGGCAAAGAGGATGACCTGTTCCCTTCTGACCCTTAGCACTCATTTCAGGATGCCAGGAAGAAGGTGGGGGGTCCTCTTGCAGCAGTAGCTTAAACCCGGCTTCTTTGGGGAGACATGGGGGAATAAGAGGGTACTTGGAAAGTAAATGCTTAGCACCCAGATCTTAGGACAAATAGCAACCCCAACTTCTCTGAACATGAATAGCTCTTCATTCATAACTTGTCAGGGAACCTGGTCCCAGGGTCCGTTTCAGGATTATCCTGGGAGCTTCCAAAATGAGCCTGGAGAAAGTCATTGGAAGGCCTTGGATGGGTCCAGGTGGGATGGAGGACAGAACTGTCCCCTTCATTCCAGAGTATGGCAGCAGCAATGTGGAGAACAAGTGTGGGTATGTATGAGTTTCTCCGACTAGAGGTGTGAGGCCTGAAGGCTCTGGGATTCCCAGCATCCCTTCCAATCCAAGTGCCTAGATTGGTCAGAGCAGAAAATTGACAGTATTGCCCTGGCCGGTTTGGCTAAGCAGTTAGAGCATCAGCCTGCGGTCCAGAGAGACCCAGGTTCAGTTCCCGCTAAGGGCATGTACCTCAGTTGCAGTTTGTCCCAGGCCCTGGTTGGGTCATGTGGGTGGCAACCATTCGATGTGTCCCTTTCATGTCAATGTCTCTCTCTCTCTCTCTCTCTCTCTCTCTCTCTCTCTCTCTCTCTCTCTCCCCCCTCTCTCCCTCCCACTCTATCTGAACAAAAAACGAAAAAATGTTCTCGGGTGAGGATAAAAAATAAATAAATAATAGAGAAAACTGACAGTATTTATTAGTACCTTCTGTTTCCAGACCTGTGCTAAGAATGGAATTAAACCACTATACTGAGGGAGAGCCCTGGGAATCCATTTATGAAATGCTCTGGAATCCTTTGGGGTATCCATAGTGCACCACTTGGGATAGTGACAGCTGGGGAATAACGGTGTAGGGGGTATCTTTTCCTTTGCTGCTGCTTGGTGCATGGGAGGGGTGTCTCTGGGCAGGTGGTCATACTACTAAGAACAGACTCTTCCAGTTCTGAGGTTGTGGAGGTAGGAGGGCCAGAGTCCAGTTCTCTACTTTCTAACCTGGTAATTGGAGAGGTGGTGTATCATGCTGGTTATTGGGGAGTGATAGGATCTAGATGCCTGCCTTCCTCTGTAGGTTTTTCATTCTTAATTAAGTTTCCTGGTCTTGTTTGCTGGGATGGGGGTAAGGATGACCCTGAGTTCCTGAGAAAAGGAAGGTCTGAGGAAATCCGGACCTTGAGCACACTGAAGAGGCAGTGCCACTGCAGGCACTGGTCGGAGGTCTGGAGGTGAGGAACTTGGATTGGGACTGTTCACCATCAAGGCTTGAAGAGGTGAGTGTCTGCTTGAGTGTCACTTTGGCCATGGGCTGCAGAAGAGAGGATCTGGACTCTAGGAGCAAATCAGGCTTCTGAACTGAATGTAGTGGAGTAGGGAGAACACTCAAGCCAGAACTCTGGCTATTGGTGCCCAGAACTGAACAGTTCTACTCTTGCACCCTTTCTCCAAACCAGGTGCTGAGAGCTGTCTCTGAGGAAGCTGGCCAGTCGGTCCAGGCCAGGTGGGAGGTTTTGGAATGAACTCGCCTGCCTGGCACACACCTCCCACCTCCACCCTTCCGCTTCACACATTGTTAAGAACCATCCTAGGACAGAATTGAGTACAAGGCCTTTTAAGGGTTGTGGGGTTTAGCTTGGGGCTCTGAACCACAGGGATTTGGATGCTAACTTCATTCTGATTTTTGAAAGAGGGAGCTCTCTTGGCTTTAGGTAATAGATAAGCAATTGGGCATCTTGTTTTTGCCTATGCCATATCTTGCAGTGATGGGATGATACCTCCCTGGCTAGGGCAGCCATAGGGGAAAGTGGGAAGGAAGGTAACAACACTTCATTCTCGGGTGAAGGATTGCATAGCCATACCTAAAAAGAACATCTAGTGCCCTGGCCAAGTGTCTTGGTTGGAGCATCGTGTCGTACATCAAAAGGTTATGTATTCAGTCCCCAGTCAGGGCATGTAGAGGAGGCAACCAATCAATGTTTCTTGCATTGATGTTTCTCTCTCCCCCTCTCCCTTTCCCCCTCTCTCTAAAATCAATAAAAACATATCCCTGAGTTAGGATAAAAAAAATCTTGTGAGCCAGGGTATACATGTCCTTGAAAATGTGACATTAGATTTTGAACCCAGATCTACGTATACTGATTCACGGGCTTCTTATTTATTAACAGTCTGTTTAAAATAAACATTAAAAACATTTAAAAAGCACCCTGCTTACTGTTTGGCACATAATGGCACTATGAATGAATAAACTTCATTGTCCTTAACCAAGCAGAGCATGGTGGGTATCCCATACGTTTTGGAAAGCAGGGGGTTGTGAGAGAGTTTTTTCTACTTGCCAACAGAGACACCTTTGAGGGTGGAGGCTTTATCAGGAGTGATTCTCTGATTAAGTTATGCATCCAGGGTTGGGCCAGAACCATCTCAACTTTCTCTGTCCATGTTCCTCCTAATTTGATCAAGGAGAAAGTGCCTCTTT